TATCATCTGCTCATGGTCTGGCAAGGGTCTCTAGCTACATCATAGCAATGTAAGGGGCCTCATGCAGCCATACAGAACAAGTGTGCTAACTCAGGTTTTCTGCCCCTTTTTATAAAGCCATTATTCCATCATGAGGATCACCCCCACCTCCTCAGACTTCATCTAATCCTAATTACTTCCCAAAGGTCCTCCACCTCCAGATACCATTAACATGTGAATTTCCAAAGCATGAACTATTGGTAGACCTATTAAATCATAGCTGACCTCCAAATGCTACCCAGATTTACTGATGTTGAGATCTGGTGGTGTTTTAATGTAGCTATTATATAGTACAGTTATTAGTCAGGCTGCGTCCACCCCTGCAAGCGATCGCTCCTCAGTACCCGGCATCTGGAAGTTAATTTAGATCATCCTCATTCAAACTTATGGACTTGAACTACAAACGCCCACATGTATAAACACTATCCATATGCCTAACATTGCTCCCCGTGGTTAATTTTTTTTTTCCCAGATGAAGCATTGAAGCATAGTTGTTATTTTGTAGTGAAGTTTGACACAGTCCTTCCTGGACATTTCAGGCCTTTTGAGCCACAGGGTCTGTCAAAATGCTTATTGCAATGGCTCAGTCGGGAATGTACTTTGCCACAAGCAGGAGAACCTGAATCTGATCTCCAGAGCCCACGTTAAAAAATTGGGTGCAGTGGCATACAATTGTCATCCCAAGACAGGGGAGGTGGAGATAGGAAGGTTTCTGGGGATTGTTAGCCAGACAGACTAGCTCAGTCAGTAAGCCCAAGGCCAATGAGAAACCTTACCTCAAAACTCAATGTGGACGGCACCATATTTGCACACACACACACACACACACACACACACACACACACACACACACACACTCACCCATTGTATTCATCATTCCAGCACTGTTCAGTTGAGCAAGGATCAGAGCTCTGAACAGGGACTAGGGGTGGGCTCAGGCATCTCACCGCTCCCTTAAGCTGCTGATTAGGGCAGAATCTGTGTACAGGCTAAGGGTTACAGGAGTGTATGAACAATAAATATGAATCTGGTTGAGTTTCATAGGAGATTGGTGATGGTCACTGAGATCAGGAGTAGATGAAGGAGCCTGGTAGAGCAAGGTGAGTCATCCTCTTTTGAAGCCTGTTGAGTTTAAAGAAGCCACAGTGTGGCTGCAGGGCTACTCCAGGTTCAAGCCTGAATGAACCAGAAATAGTGCTTAGGTTCCTGTAGCATTGCATGGACTATCTGGGGAGATACTGTGGTTTGAATTTGAGATAACCCCTTTCCCCATAGGTTCACTTGATCCCCAGCTGGTGGCATTCTGTAAAATTAGGTAGAGCCTTGCTGGAGGAGGGTCACGGGTGAGCCCTGAGGATTTACAACCTGGTCCAACTTGCTGTTCTCTCTGATTCCTGACTGACTGGAGGCAGTGTGACCAGCACCTCCCATTCCTGCCACACACCTTCCCCACCGTGACAGACTGTATGCCCTCAGACTATGAGCCAAACTCAACTCCTCTTTGTTTAAGTTGCTTTCTGTCAGATCTTTAGTCTCAGCGGGGAGCTAACTGTCTGAGAGTGGCTGGTACAGCTCCATTTGGAACAGAAACATGGCTCCATCTCCCAAATTTCTACAAAACTGCCACAAGGCTAGCTATGATGAGATCTCAATTTCTGTAATCCTAATTGCTTCCAAAGGCCCACCATCACATGGCATTAACATGTGATTTTCCAAAGAATGAACTATTGGTAGATGGATATACTCACAGCTGACATCCTAAATGATGGCAAGATGTTTATGTGTGACTAAAGCATAGCAGAGAGAGGTAGCATTGCCTGTCACATCTAATTCAAAGGTTAGTTCTGCTTGAAACATCCCCCTCTGATCTCCTGCCAGTATCCTGTCAGTTGACTATTTAAATCCTCCCTGAAGGGAATCTCTACTTGTTGAGCTTTTCCATAGTCTTCCTCCTTGTGCATGCCTTCCTGCCTGGAACACTTCAGAGAGCCTCTGCCTTTCCTGGATTTGCTCACAGCACATGTGCAACCTTGCAGATCCTTCCTTTCCCAGGCCTTTGTCTGGGATCCTAATCTTGAATCTGTCTGCAGGGAAGGGGTTTTGACTCAAATGAAACCACATGGGTCTTTTGCGCCTGTGGCTTGCTGCAGCCCCTGCTGGGGCCTCCCCAGTCAGCAGCTGGTTGTTAGCAAGAAAAGCCTCTTTTTGCATCAGGGACAGATGACTTCCAGTCCCCACTTCTAGTCCCCAACAGACTGTCCTGAGAGCCTCTTTTGCATGATCAGAATCTGCCCCAAGTGACTCAAGTCTGAAAATGTGGGGTGGATCTGGGAAGAGTTGGGGTGGCCAACACCATTGCTATTATAGGTGTCTAGAGCCTCGGGAATGTAGCATGGTCATCGCTAAACCTTGGGCACTGGCTTCTTCCAGTTTCTTTGCCGTTTCTTTTTCTTTTTCTTTTTCTTTTTTTTGAATAGTGTCTCATGTAGCCCAGGATGGCATGGTGAGACATGCATTGGGCTTCATGCATGCTAGGTGCACGTTCTAATACTGAGCCACATCCCCCAGCCTGGTTCTCACACTCCTCCTCCTCTCTCTCCTCTTTTCCTCCTCCTCCTTCTTTTCTTCCCTCTCCTCCTCCTCTTCCTCTTTCTTGGCCTTTTCTTCCTCCTTGTTCCTCTCCCTTCCCTCTCTCCTCTTTCCCCATCCTTCCTTCTCCATTTCTCTCTGTGTGTCTGTCTTGCTCCCTCATCCTAATAGAGGTGGTGCCATGAGCCCCTCTCATTGCCTCCTGTCTGCCCACCTCCCCTTTTCCTACCTTCACTTGTTTGTGCTGACACCAACACGTTGACCCTTAGCCCTCTGTATTGAACATTCTGAATGCTGGAGAGGATCTCACAGGCTCTTTGGGGCTGGGACTGGGTCTCCACTGGGCTGGCCAATAGGGAAGTCAGTGGGGTTACAGAGCCCCCTGCCTGCTTCCCAGGGAATGGGGGTATACTGGGTTTCTGAAAAGACAGTGGGAACAGGATTTACTAGATGCCTAGTACAGGTACCCATATCCTAGAATCCTACCAACTAACTTACAGGAGGTAGATGATTCTAAACAGGGCTCAGGCTTTAAGAAGTCGGGGCTGATAAACTGTTCCACTCTTGTTTGGTCAAGCAGCCACATCTCTGAAACCATAAATAAGCTCTGCAGCTTTCAGCCACACCAAACATGCACAGCACAGGATTGAGCCTGAGATTTAAACATTTGCTTTACTCCTAGGCTAGCCTGCAGTCAGAATGTTGTTTATTGCCGGCTGTTACTCTGATGCACAAAATAGGTTATTTTAACTTGACTTAGCTGGGTTTTTGTTCAGGAATACTTCTGGTACTTCTGAAAGGTTTCCTTCCAAAGTCCAGGGTGCTATGTCATATAGTCACATAGGAGGAGGGATGAGAGGTTTAAGCCGTCTTCATTCAAGTCCACTTCTCTGCACTGTGGGCTGCTGGGGCCACCCACCACCACCACCACCAACAACAACAACAACAACAACACACACACACACACAAACACACACACACACACCAAGTTCTTTAACAGTCTTTGGTGACAAACTGGCTATCATGAGGTTTGCCCAATGTGTATATGTGGGGCGGGGGACACAGAATAGGAAAATGCATGTCCTACTTTGACACAAGTGGAAACTATTACAGAGTATGGATCCTTCAAATTAAAAAGGAAAGGAGGGGGCATGCCATACAAAATCTGCTTGTGTAACTTAGTCACACATGAACGTTAAGGGGAAGTGAAAGTGAGTTTGCTTCCTTGCCACAGGTGGTTTCAATTTTGGAACCTGGAAACCTGGGTCTACAGATGTGGGACCTTTGGGTTTGCTTCTAATGAAAGTCTGAATGCTCCCCACTGTTCACAAAACCTCACAGTTCCCACTTAACCTCTCTGTCTCTAAGGCTCACCTGGGTATTGTCAGCTCTCCAGCTGCTGGGTCCATCCCTACACTGCGAGAAACCCTCTTGCCCAGCATCAGAGAGAAGTGGGCTGCAGTTCTGACAGCATGAGTTAATCATCACAAGAAATACTGGCAAGCAGGGGATGTTTATATTCCCTGGAGACAGCTTAACAACTCTGGATAAATATTCCAGTCCAACTGACTGCCTTCTCCAAGCCTTCATCCCTACCCCACCACACACAAACTTCCTTCCCAAAAACCAGAGTGAGCCAAAAGCAATACATTGGTTTTTCCCAAAGTAAGAATGATACTCCCAAACACTTGACCATGACTGCTGTTATTCTGTAATACTTATATATTAATATATGCACACACAAGACTTGTTATTCTGTAATATTTATATATTAATTATATAGATAGATACACACACACACACACACACACACACACACACACGACATGATTCTGATTGAAGACTTGTACAGTGGCAATATGCCTGTTTTTGCCCTCAAGTTCCAAACAGATTCCTATTTTCATGTGTGTATATGTCTCTACAGTAGTATGTATGCGTGTGTATGGGTTTGCATGTATGTGGGCACACTTCTATATACCTGTACATATATGTATGTATGTGTGGATACATATGAAGACCAAAGGTTGACATTGGTGTCTCCTTGTTCATTCTTCACCTTGGGTATTGAGATAGTCTCTCACTTGAACCCAGAGATCATTGATTTGGCTAGTCTAGCTAGCCAGCTTACCCTAGGGGATCCTTTGTCCCTGCCTCCTTAGCACCACGATTGCAGGCAGGCTGCCATGCTTACCTACTGAGCCATGTCTCCATCCCAGATTGCCTTTAAAATAAATCTCAGTTTTGATGTGCATACATCTCAGACCTCAGCATTGACCTTTCCTGTCTCTGTGCCGTGTAGCTCCCACCAGGAGTTCTGACCTACCAAGCAGGTTGTTTCACTAATTCGCTTTCTGCTAATGTCCCCTCTCTAGAATAAGAAAATCTACTTGGATATCATTCACACGTACATGGAAGTTCATGCCACTGTTTACGGCTCCAGCACAAAGAACATTCCCAGTTACGTGAAAAATCATGGCATTCTCAGTGGGCGTGACCTGCAGTTTCTTCTCCGGGAAACAAAGGTAACTTCCCAGCAGATTCGTAAACATTCTCATGGCTTGTGGGTTTGTGTTGCACTCCCCCCCCCAACCCCCACTTGGAAATGGGATCAGAATCTTTCATGCTTTTTTTTTTTTTTTTTTTTCCAGTAGATTAGGGGTATAGCTCAGGGCTTGCCCAGCACCACATAGAACCATTTGGGAGTTGTATTGTAGTATCTGAAGTTTTAGTAACTATTAGTATTTGTTGAAATAATTCACTTAGTGATGATTCCACAGAAACATCGGCTAACCTAAGCTATAAGGTTTTCTGGGTGTTTATGTACACATATATGCTTTACAATCACAAAACCTTTACATGTGTTTTTGTATTTCAAATGTATCTATTTATTTGCTCTGAAGGAGAAAGGTCCATGCTGGACATGATGTCACATGCCTGTTATCTCAGCACTTGGGACTTAGAGGCAGGAGGATCAGGATTTCAAAGGCATCCTCGGGCATGTAGGGAGTTTGTTGCCAGCCTAGGATACATGAGACCCTGCCTAAGCTTTAAGCAATAGTCAGGCAGTGTTGTCTTAGAGCAGCAATTGAAAAAAAAAGTTAATGAATTGTAAATTGTGATTTCTATAAATTCATTTCTAGATTTTGTTTAAAATATGCATTTTGCAATTAAAAGTTAACAACAACAACAAAAAAAACATATTTACTAGAACTTAGTGGTAGCAAGGATATCTCCAGAAGCACAAGAAATAAAATTTAAAAACCCCTGTTTATGGGGGTCTTTTCTTGAGCCAGGGATCAAGCCAGAAGCTGAGAGTGGAAGGGTAAGGCCCTGCCTTGTGTGAAGGATGACCTTCTGATAGGGTAACGAAGGTCACAGCTATCAAATTCCCCATCAGTCACTGTGCCCAAGGAACGTGGTCCCTGACCTCCTCTCCTCACACCCCTTCCTCAGATAGAGACAGAGACCCACTAACTCAAGAAGCATAGTAGGGGGTTTTGAAAACCTGTGAGATGACCAGCGTGTGGAACCACCTGGCATTTGGACCATAAGGAACCAGATTCAGGGGGCCAAGGTGCCAGTGACATATTCAGGAGGGAATTAAATCCAGTCTATAATTGATGTTGGAATATGACATTTGATAAGGAAATGGGGTCTGGTTATCACAGTTTTGGGCGGAGTTCAGACCCTGTGGCATAGGTGGTTAGACAACCACTGAAGATCATTTATCTATGTGTGTGTACATGAGTACATGTTTATACATGAGTGTATGTATGTGTATGCACATGTATGTGCATCCATGTAGAAGTCAGAGGTCAGTTTTGGGTATCATTCCCCTGGTACTATCCACCTGGTGGGGTTTTTATGTATTTATTTTATTTCACATGTATGTATGTGTGCCTGAGTATATGTATGTGCACCCTGTGCATACAGGACCTTGAGGTCAGAGGAGTCACATGAGCAACAATGTGGGTGCTAGGAATTGACCCAGGTCCTACAAAAGCAGGAGGAACTCTTTAACTGCTGAGCTAAGTCTCCAGCCCACACCTTTGGGTTTTTTGGTGTTTATGCTTGTTTTTGGTTTTTTTAGATAGGGTTTCTCACTGGCCTTGAGCTCACCAAATAGCAAGACTAGCCAGACAGTGAGCATGAGAGTTCTGCCTGTCTCTGCCTCCCCAGCATTGGGGTTACAAGCATGCACTACTGTGTCCCAACTTATTTTATGTGGACTCTGGGGATTGGATTCAGATTGGATCGTGAGCACTTTACGAACCAACCTGTTTCCCTAGCCCAAGACTTCAATTTTAGAGGGTGCATCTGGCAATCGCTTTGGGGTAAACAGAACAGACACCTCTGTGGGTTCAGGTATCCCAGCTTCCCCCAGTAACCGAGATCAAGTCATAGAGGAGTCTCCAACTCCTGATGCTTAATAACTGGGAATTCCAGCTCTGCTAGGCCTTTGGCATACCATCTTCACAAACATCCACACTTAGGACACTTAGTAAAAGGGTAGAAGGTAAACTTATAGGGTAAAGTGCTTAACCCAAAACCATGAAGACCTGAGTTTTGTTTTCCAAAACCCCCTGAGGTCAAATGTGGGATCACACATCTGTAAGTCCAGAGCTTCTGTGGCAAAATGAAAGGCAGGAACAGGAGAGCCCCCAGAAGCTAACAGCTCAGCCAGCCTGGCATACAGCCATGAACAACAAGTGATTCTGTCTCAAACAACATGGGGTTGGAGCAGTGACACCTAAGATTGTCCTCTGACCTCCATACTTACATACTTGTACACACACACAAAGGTTTTTATTTTATTTGTTTGCTTTTTCATTTATTTGTTTGTTTGTGTTTTGAGACAGCATCTCTCTACATAGCCCTGGCTATCCTGGAATTCATTGTGTAAGCTAGGTTGGCCTCAGATTCACAGAGATCCACCTGCCTCTGCTTCTTGAGTGTGGGGATTAAAGGCATGCGCCACCATGCTGGGCCACACAAAGATTTTTTAAAAATGGGGTGGGTGGGAGCCAGCCATATGTATGGCTCAGCAGGTAAAGGCACTTGCTGCTCACACCTGAGGACCTGAGTTTAATTCCCAGAACCATGACATGAATGAACCCACACGCATCACACACAGTTGGCAAGTCATCTTGTAAACGAAAGTCCATGACTGTTCACCAGTTAAAAAGATAACTGTCTGGGGCTTTGTCCATTTCTCCATCCATAATCACACTTGATTCTTTTTGCTTCCAAGTCATTTTAAAGTGTGATTCCAGAGATAAAAATATTTTGATAAATTTTTTTTGAACTCTTGGCCAAACACTGGGTTTCTTTTCCTGAGGACTTTAATTCCTTAAAAGGTCGCCCACCGTCTCATGATTGTTCGTGGCTCTATGAGTGAGGAGCGCCCCAGTTTCACTCTCCTCCTTCTGTCATTTTCTTTCTTAGTTTGACATTTTCGAGTCGTCAGGATGTCCGGGCCCTTTCACGGCAGCGATGCTATTTTCTGCCATTTGCCTCATTTTACTTTTCTTCGGTGAGATCCCGCTGAAAGTTCAAGTTTCTTTAAAATAACACCGTGCCAGAGCTTATTTCCACAGTGTGTCATTACCGTCTCACACGCTTCCATTAACCCGACCTTGTGGATGCCTTCCTCAGCCTCACAGATTTCAAAAGAACCCTATTTGCCTACCATCCATTCACCTTGTCAGAGAATGAGAAATAGGCCAAAGCTGAGGTCTGTCCTGTCTGGGGGAACACAAGAAAAAAGCTTCTAAGAGCCGGCTATGAGGTTGGAATAGGTCAAGCAGCCAAGAATGAAGCTTGGTTTCTGAGCATGAAGTGTGTGTGTGTGTGTGTGTGTGTGTGTGTGTGTGTGTGTGTGTGGAGATGGCTCAGTGGTTAAGAGCACACACTCCTCTCCATTTTGTTTTTATCTTCGTTTTTGGAGACAGGGGTTCCCTGAGTACCCCTGGCTGTCCTCGAACTCACAGAGATCCACCTGCCTCTGCCTTCTGAGTGCTGGGATTAAAGCTTGTGCCACCACCACCCAGGCACATCCTGCTCTTACAGAGGACCAGGGCTCAAATCTCAGCACCTGTATCAGGCACAACCTCCTGTAACTCCCCTTCCAGAGAATCAAACGCCCTCTTATGGCCTTAGTGAGTACCGCAAGTATGTGGTACAGAGATAATCGTGCACATATACATAAATGTTTTGAGTAATTAACTAATTTGAAACTGATGCCTAGGTGGAATTATGTAGTACTTGTTTCTCTGATAAGAATATATTAGGTCTGCAGAGATGGCTCCCCAGTTAAGAGCACATGCTACTTTTCCAGAGGCCCCAGATTCTGTTCCCAGAACCCACACCTACCAGTAATACCAGCTCCAGAGGATCTGATACCTCTGACGTCTGTGGGCACCTGCACTCATATGTACACACACACACACACACACACACACACACACACACACACACACCCACACACACACGTATACATAATTTAAAATACAAATAAATCTTAGAGAACATATTAAAACACTCCATGTGGAATTATGCCTCAAATTGTTGGCAGATGTGAGGAACAAAAGGTGGTACTTGGCCAAGACTCCCTTTCTATTGAGATCCCAGTAGTAGGCAACTGAGCTGAATGAATCTGGAGTTTGAAAAATTGACACAGACTAGTCTGCGTTCGTATCCTTAACTCCTTCTCCTGTGCCTCTGAGCAATTTTAAAGCAATTTATTCCTGTCCATGTTGGAAGTAAAGAACAGGAGCTGCCAAAGAGACACATCTGTAAAATGAATAGATCCTCCTCAGGCTCAGCTAGAGAGGGAAGAAGCCTGCTCTCTTGCCAAGATCTCACCCCAGGATCTCAGCTAGAGACGGAGGAAGCCTGGTCTCTTCTCCCCAAGATCTCCAGAGATACGGAGTAATGGCTGGTGTTCGGTCACTTTGGGGCTCATTGTTTTTGGTAACGAGCCATCTTTGGGTTTGGTATTACTTTGATTTTGGCTCCTTCAGTGTTGGAGGTTGAACTCAGTGCCTTGTACATGCTAGGGCAAGCATGCTGCCACTAAGCTACATCCTCACCCTGTACACTGTCTTTGAAACTCTTCGAATAGAACTTTGTCTGAGCCCATTTGATGCCCCAGCCTCAGAAGACACAGGGATGTTGCTATCACATGAGAATTGGGGCTTAAAGTGCTGGGAAGTTGCTATAATCTCAAAGCCCCTTCTAGCGGGCTGTACATTTTGATAGGCAATTAATTATGATAATAAATTATTGTCTGCATTTTGATGAATGAATTATTTATCTAAAAACCACAGATAGGTCATTTCATCTACTAGACCCTAGAAGAGGACATAGAACCAACATATCATGACTCGCTAGGGTTAATTCTCCAGCTCTGTTAGTGTGTGTGTGTGTGTGTGTGTGTGTGTGTGTGTGTGTGTGTTCTTATCTTCATAGTTTCTTTTTATTTGGTTTTTGTTGTTGTTGTTGTTGTTGAGACAGGGTCTCA